AGGCATGAGCAGTGGTATGGGCAGGGCTCTTTGGCCAGGCATGGGCAGTGCTCTAGCAGTTGGCTCTTGGGGAGGCATGGGCAGTGGTCTAGGCAGTGGCTCTTGGGGAGGCATGGACAGTAGTCTGGGTGGTGGCTCTTTGGGAAGCATGGGCAGTGGTCTTGGCAGTGGCTCATTGGGAGGCATGGGCAGTGGTCTCGGTAGTGGATCTTTGGGAGGCATGGGCAGTGGTTTAGGCAGTGGCTCCTTGGGAGGCATGAGCAGTGGTTCGGACGGTGGCTCTTTGGGAGGCATGAGCAGTGGTCTGGGCAGTGGCTCTTTGAGAAGCATGGGCATTGGTATGGGTGGAGGATCTTTGGGAGGCTTGGGAAGTGGTCTGGGCAGTGGCTCTTTGGGAGGTATGGGGACTGGCTCTTGGGGAGGCATGAGCAGTGGTCTGAGCAGTAGCTCTTTGGGAGGCATGGGCAGTGGTCTGGGCGGTGGCTCTTTAGGAGGCATGTCCAGTGGCTCTTGGGGAGGCATGGGCGGTGGTCTGGGCAGTGGATCTTTGGGAGGAATGGGAGGTAGCCCCATGGGAATCACTGGTAGCGCTCTAGACGGTGGTGTGTTAGGAGGCGTGAGAACAGGGATATTTGGTCGCATGGCAAGCAAAAATAACCGATTGGTCGGTGGAATTCCGGTAGACTCCAAGAACAAGAACAAGAACGAACGGGCGGATAGTGTAATGGGCGTAGGTGACGGAACAGTCGGTGGATCTTTGGGAGGCATGGGCAGTGGTCAGGGCAGTGGATTTTTGGGAGGAATGGGCAATGGTCTGGGCAGGGGCTCTTTGGGAAGCATGGGCGGTGGTTCTTTGGGAGGCATGGGCGGTGGCTCTTTGGGAGGCATGAGTGGTAGCTCTTTGGGAGGCATGGGCGGTGGCTCTTGGGGAGGCATGAGCAGTGGTATGGGCAGTGGCTCTTTGGGAGGCATGGGCAGTGGTTCTTTGGCAGGCATCGGCAGTGGTCTGGGCGGTGGCTCTTTGGGAGGCATGGGCAGTGGCACTTGGGGAGGCATGGGCAGTGGTCTGGGCAGTGGCTCTTTTGGAGGCACAGGCAGTGGTTCTTGGGGAGGCATGGGCAGTGGTCTGGGCGGTGGAATCTTTGGGGAGGAATGGGCGTGCTCTTTGGGAAGAGATGGGCAGTGGTGCTGAGGTGGTCGAGTGGTCTCTTTGGGCCGAGTGTCGGGATGATGGCAGATGTCTGGGCGGTGGCCTTTGGGAGGTAATGGGCGTGGCCTCTTTGGGAAGGCTTAGGGCATGGTCTGGGTAGTGACTTCTTGGGAGGCATGGGCGTGGTTCCATAGGAGGTTCAGCGGGGCGATTGAGCGGAACCTGGGGCTTTGGATGGCAAGTCCACTGCAAGGCATTTCGGCTGGGGAGTGAGAGGCTTGGCAGGCGGAATGAGAAGTGATTCTAACTCAAGTGAGGCTGAGAGTCGGGCGGCAGAATCCTCAGAAGTCGAGATGGAGGAAAGCCTTAATCGTGCAGAGGAAGAGAGCAAAGGATCCAGAGCGAATGGGTTGCCATATTTTGGTCATTCAAACGGCTACGGAATTTACACTAACATGGCTGGGGGATAATAGGCCTCCTTTTCGGCATCCGGGATCTTTCGGCTCCTAACACGAAGCTTGGGGTCCCAAGGGGTAGCTCCGCGGCCCCCAAGCGATATGCACGCTGAATCCGCTTCTCTAAAAATTTCCAAAATATTTTCCTGACCATTCCTGGCACTGACTTCCACATCTAACTACGGCGTAGGGTATTAGAAAAGGGCTGAGCCACGTTAATGACGTTTGGATGCAATACGTATATTTCCAATCCAGCTGCTCTGTGGTGCAGACAGACATTTCCTTTGATCGCGTGATAATTGATAAATGTTTAATAAATTAAATGTATTAGGCGGAATTGTTTTCACTTTATTTCAAATATGATGATAATATGACATCTGAAATACGAATACTACCTTATTAGAGCAACAGTAATATAAATATTCTAAAAAAACAATGCTATTCTTTACTGTTTACACAACATAAGTAACGATAACCCAAAATACTTTATTATTCAGTTAATATTTTATATTTCATCAGAGTAGTTTCTGCTTTCCAAGAAAAAAAAAGATGTCTGTACCATAAGTGCATGTATTTCAAGTTGTGTCTCTTACTTTAGGTGTGTTTACGTATGTTATACTTATTTACGAATATTGAATGCGTACTTAGTTACGTACATTGAATGTTGAATATTATTATAACCACTTGCTTGTCTAATTTTTAAGAGTTCAAATCTATGTATTCACAAGTTTTTTATCCATTAATTTTAAAATTATTATTTTAATTCATCTGAGAATATATGTCAAGTAACATTATTTTGAAACACAATAATTCGTTTTTAAATCATATATATTTTATGTTGATTTTCTGTTTAGTGGAAGAAGATAGTAAGAAATAAATATAATTAATTTTGTTCATCTGTGAAAATATTGTGTATATTTTAATTAAAAAACCTACGTGTTTCTTCGTGGTAGTTTCTGAAACACACGAGATGAAATTTAACTAAACGAGTCAGAACGATTACGTTGCACAAATAGAAGAAAGAACTGTAGGAAACACTAGTACTATGTACTAAACAACATTTTTAAAAAAAAACTTCAAAAATATTGATTTCATTTCTTTCAGTACTTATAAAGACGAATGAAATGAGAGGTTTACAAATTCAAAAACAATATCGCTATACGGAGTGAACACAGTCAAACACCATTCTGAAAATGTAATTGAATTGTTTTGCAATGCAAAATCATGGTGAGAGAGTACACAATACAATGTTCACCATAACTTAACACGCCGTTGGTCGATCTCTCTCAAATACACGCAGTTGATCGAAGGTGGGCGCGTGTAGACTTCACGTAAATTCTCTCGTTTTTCGATTTTTTCTCTCCGGTGCTAATGAAATATTTATTATAATTCTTCCAAATAACATTATTTCTTTAAATATCAATACAGAACTTTAAAAATGGAAATTAATAAAAATATGTATGTTATCTGAATACTTTTTTGAATTCTCAAATTTAATAATTTTCTTTTACAATAACTATCAATATTAAGAGTATGTTTTTGACACAAAAACAGCTTCGATAGAACACCGTATTATGGTTATCTCGTCTTTTTTCTATTAAAAATACATATATATCTTGCATTCCATATTGGTTGTTTTTGCTACACCTCGTTTTTTTAAATCGATAGTTAATAAATGAGAAAATATTACAAAAAGGAATGTCTACTCGATACTTGACGCCGGAGACGGATAATCGCTTCAGTTTTCTTCGCCTGTAATGCAATATACTCGACAACGATTCCGCCATTTTGTCTGCGAAGATTAGAATGTAACGATATATAAACAATTCGTGTCTGACTTCTGCTAAACGTATGCGTTTTCCACTCTCATCCTCCGAATACTAACGTTATGCAATACCACTGTTATTTGTGACTCTGGGAACCATTTAGTGTGAAATTAGATACTAAAGAGCATCTATACTAACAAAAGTGTATTAAATGACATGTAACCTGTTGTGTCACAGGAAATGCAGGAAAAAATCAAATTACAAAAGTAACCACGTTTATTATAAATGGCCACTTTCCAAATCAAAACCAGATACAATGCAAAAGCGCCGAATAACTATGCCACTGAATGAATGTGCCACAAGTAAGCCAAGTAGTCAATATGCGAGAAGTCCAAATAAAGTGTTCGATCGTTACCAACGAGCTGAAATATACTACATAGAGTGGCTGAAGCGCCTCCATCTTTGAAGCAAATTAAAGCCAAGTTTTTTGCAATCAATTCAGCGCCCTCTGGGAAACACATTGTTTTATACTGCGATTTATGCAGCTCTGCTCCTGGCAGGTCTCAGCTGTTCACAGTTTTATCCAATCGGGAGCTTGAACAGTGACGTCACTAGGGTGACGTTAAGCTCCCGATTGGATGAAACTGTTAACAGCTAATTTCTTCCAAGGGCAGAGTTGCGAATATCGCAGTATAGCATTAAGTTTGGCGTTGGTTACGGACAGTTACACCACCACTCGTATGTTTTGACTTCAAAAATCATGGCGGCCACTAGTTCGGCGAGCCTCCACCAAGGGCGCTGGAACTAAAGGGACACTCTATGTAGTATATTCTAGCTCGTTGGTCGTTAAGTAATCTTTTAAAAAATCTCTATGCTCGGTTATAGAGCGATTGTTATAAGAATGAGCCAAACTGACAGTTCGCTAAACAAATGAATATCTCAGAATGATTCATGAGTAATTCAGAGAAATATCCCTCCATGCAGCAACTGTTCAGCCGTGCTTCTTTGTAAAGAGTTTGTTTAGGTCTTCTGTGAAGATGTAAAGACGTCTTAGAGTTTCACTCAGTAATATGAACGCACATGGGTCCGGAAAACTATTGAAATATAATTACGTATGTGGGAAAAAGTCTTAAAAATGTCTCATGGCGCACTATATTTTCGTCGGACGAGGACATCACAAAAGGAAGCGTCGACGCCATTTACAAGTTAACCAACTACAAACGAATGAATGTAGGAAGGAGAGTCTAATAGGCTGAAGAACACAACGATCACATAGCCTTGTTGTGTTGCCAACAATAGCTGTCAAAACGGTCCATTCTTATAAAAATCGCTCTAGATCGCTCGCGGAAAAAATCACAGCGCTCACGCGAGCGCCGAGCGCATTTATCAGCAGCGCCGCTGTCGCCCTTCCCCGCCGCTGGGCCGAGGGAATCGGAGGGGTGGCGTGCCCCCTCTACGTACACGCGCCGCCGGCGCGCCTCAGCTCCACCGCACCCGCTGCTGCTCCTGGCGGCGGGACGGCGAACCTTCTCGCCTCAGCGGCGAGCCTGTCTGGCAGTGACGGTGTCTTCGATTGATTTCATCGCCACTATACCCTGTCCAACGCCAGAACGAAGCGGATGTAAACAAATGCAGGTGGGTATGCAATCGCTGATTGGCTGCAAGTCCACGGCACCCGCTCGTCCTCGCACTATTTTAAGCATACGCGTCAGAAAATAGTTCTGTGTAATTCAAGTTGCTGTATGTTACCTACAAGAGAACACGTATAATCATACGTAGAAAGCAGATACATATGTGCTTATTTACTTTAAATTATATAAGTTGAATGGAGAAATCTAAGGACAAGCGAAAATCAGACGGTACATATCAAGTGAGGAAGTAGTTTCCTTCTAGTGGCAGACGGCACCCCTAGATTTTCGTTGTGTGCATGAGTTTCGTAGTCTTAGTGGCAATAATATTACTTTACTATTAAAAATAATGCAATACAATTCACTCACAAATATTAATAAATAAAACGTTTAGTGAATAATTCCTTACAACGAAGGTTGGTAAAAATTAAGACAACACAAATGCGGAAAATAAATAATTTCAATGCTATGCTGATAGATCATCGACAAATCTCCACGACATCCACGATCATATTTTTCGCCTGTCGCTAAGAGCAGATTGGTTCCAACTTCCGCCACAGGCAAATAGCGCTGTAGCAGAGCTGACACGTAGTACATCCGCTAGAGGCCAGTAGCATTGCCTAAGATAAAAAGATTTAATATAATAGCAATATACTGTAAAATAAAATGAAAAAAATATAGTATTTTATTAAAATTAAAACAATTATATTAAAAATAATAAAACTTATATACGGAAATTTTCATACAAAATTGATTTTCTTCCTTTTTAACAAAGGATGAATACGAAGAAAGCCCGGGAAACGCTGGGTAGTTTGCCCGTTTTCTATAAAGCAATTTGTTGCGCCTCAGTCGCCGAGAGATATTTCTAGCATTTTAAAATTTTTAAGTAATTTGCTACTTGATTTCGATAAAACAGTAAAAATAATTAATAAAATAAAAAATAAGGGAGAAAATCCTCGCAAAAGTGTTCAATAACATGTTTAATAAGAAAATATTAAACCAGATATAGTGGTTTGTGTTTGTTCCTTCCTTGTTTCCTTCTTTTACTTCTGGGAAGTAGAAGCAACTTCACTTTTTGCACTCAAGAACATGTACGAAATGGTACGAGAACTCTCTCTAAATACAGTATGTGATCAAAAGTATCCGGACACGTGGCTGGAACTGATTTACCAGTTTCTGGCGTTCTCCATCGGCAATACTGGAATTCAATAGAGTGTTGGCCCACCCTTAGCCCATTCTTCACCCAGTGCTGCACTGAGGAGAGGTATCGATGTAGCTCGGTGAGACCTGGCACGAAGTCGGCGTTCCAAAACAAAGATATATAGATTCGTCTACAAAAAAATTAATAGAGCAATTACAGAAGTAGAAGTGAACACAAATTAGACTGCGTTTGTGGAGTTTTAATCTCTTCAAACATTAGGGGACAAAAGTATGGAAGCGTTAAGCAAACCCGAGGAAGAAGAGAATGTAGTTTTAGACCATTTTGCGTCAGAATTTTTGGAACTAATTGAGAATCATCTTATAATAGAATTCGCTAACGCAGGAAAATAGCTAACAGGTGAACTTTTATGTGCATATTTGTGGATATTAGCAAAAAAAGGGTAAAAATGTTGCTGTACAAAGTTCTAACTATTTGTATCCTTAATACCTGCAAGCATTTTTTACATTTGAAATTGCAATATTACCAGGTAATATATAAGGCTATTGGGTGTTGAGAATTTTCGAACGAGAATATAACATTAACAGCTACTACCATTCATTGGTAAGCCCTATGCTTAAAGAACGTATTTGAACAAAGCTAGGCATGAAAGAAATGAAGAATGAAAGAAATGTTCAACACATGAAAATACTTTTAAAACAGTTTAATGCGTCGGTGACGCCACATCCAACTAATGATGTGATATTGGCAGTGATGTAAAAAACGCAATAGCTTCTAATCAACATGAAGTGGACGTCAATACGGAAAATGTAGAAACAATGATCACGAACCCTAATTAAACCTTTTAAAAACCCGTAAAAGAGGCAACTGGCTACGGCTTCTTGTTTACTGTGTCAAGAAATTCAGCTTCAATGTATATAATCCAGTCAATGGTGGTACGCAGTCGCAATGTTTATGATTGCATCAGCGCTGCTGTCTCTGTGAATAATTTCTCTAACGGCCAAAGAAATTACGAATAGATAAGTTGCAGGCACTGGTTGGATAGGTTGTAGCTCGGTATAACCGGTGAAAATGGTACTGCTCAAGGTAAGAATCAAGAGGCCTCACGAATTTCCTTTTCTTTTTCAAACGTATTTTACCAAAAGTTAATTCAAAATTATTATTATTAAATTAGATAGTTGTGACTCGTGGCTAGCTCTTGGTCAATCGTGGCTCATTAATTGTGGCTCGTGGTTAGCTGTTGGTCAGCGTGCTCGCGTTCTACTAAACGGCTTCGATTCCAGGTCGAACCAAGACTATAGTGTGCGTTTTCATTGCAATGTCTCTGTATTTGTTGAAAAATGTTAAAATTCACTTATCAGGTTGAGAAGACAGAGATAAGGATTGAGTATGTCTACGTGCTAACCACACGCACTCCGTTACTCACGGCCGCGAGGCTGGGACGTCGCCGTTAGGCCTGACACCGTTCACGGGCTGTCGCGCCAAGTATATACATACATACATACATGTATATTTGTACATATATTTGAATAAAAATATATGAGTGAGTGTTTTAGATTAGGAATTCTCGACTGTTAATAATTAATTAGCAACAGCAATAATCAACAGCAACATACATACATACATACATACATACATACATACATACAATCATCATTTAGGATGATGAGATAGTTTAATAAAAGTTTAGCTTTAGTGTATTCATTGATGCGTTTTGATGAAGTGGAGAAAGTCTAAAGTTAGGATGTCCCAAACATTAGAAATGTGGAATTTGATATTATAGCCCTTATATTGCTATTTTTTAAAATTATATCCAACAAATATTTACAATCTATATGAGAGTAGAAATAATTAATAAATATTATACAACTTTTTTTTAAAAATATAAAATCAAATGTAAATAAATCCTCAATGGTACTTTCCGTGTAAAATTCTTAATATAACTAAAACAAAAAGTTATTGAAAGTATTGGAATATTTTTATACAAAAATTTTTGAACCATCAAATTGAGAATACATAAAAATATTAAAATAAAATAAGAGAACTTATTTGCATGAAATTTATCTTAGGGATAAGGGAGATGAAAAGAAGAAATTGAATTGACATAAGAAATTTTTTGTCTATTATAAAGGGCATTTAGAGACAGAGGGTTCTGTTGCATTTCCAGACGCTGTTGGTAATATTTTGAAATTATTTATTGAAGAATTTTGGGCTACTGGTGAGATCGCGATGTACAACAGTATTTGATATGAATCAAAGTACAAACTAGGTTATTCTTAAATATTTGGCTTCGAATCTTCTTAAGATGGAAAAATTAGTCTTGGTAGCGGTGTGCCAGATTTGTATTACGTATGACCATACAGGTAATGGGATCGCAAGCGAATTAATAAGTTATTTTCGAGTGATAATTTGAATCTGTAACCAATAAGGTATTAGAATTTTTGCATTTGTTACTGTTGAGTTTCGGTTTGAAAAGTTTTCTTCCATGTGAGACGTCTAGCCATGTGACTACCTGGAAATTTCATGCATTCCGTTTGTGGTATTGTTTTTTTGTTGTTGTTGTACAGTTGAGCAAGTTTCTTTCCTGAGAGTAAAAGTAATATGAACAGATTTATTAAAATTTATTTTGATTCTCTAATTGCGGTACCTTTCATCAAGAGCGAAAAGCGTATCTTGTACTGTGATGTCAGAAGCTAATTTGGCTGTATTATTGGTAAATGTACAATACTTGTGTTTTCATTCGGAATATTCGCTGTGTATTGCAGTAGCCCAAACACCTACCCTGCGGTACTCCAGATTTGTGAGCAAAGAAGTAGCGCTCCTGTGTGGAGTGATTATTGGCCTTTGAACTCAAGTGCGTGTGTTCGATCCCTGCTGAGTTGCGTGGATTTTCAACAGTCGACTTTATTTATTTATTTATTTATTTATTTATTTATTTATTTATTTATTTATTTATTTATTTATTTATTTAGTCCGAGCTCATCAAATGCTAAGGTTATTAGTCCCGTATATGAAGTGTACGTTTTTATCACGGAATATGGTGATGATCTTACTGCCTAAGTTATAATGACCTCTAGACATAAGAAAATATAAGTACTGTAAGAACATATATTTTCGTACAAGCATTAAAATTGCCTCATAATATCTAAAAATATTACTTCGCTAGAAGAGTTTTTAACAATTACTTTTCGTAGATGTAAGGTTAAGACGATTCATGAGTTCTGTGCCAGGACACATGGACCGCCGCGAGCGAGCATTGCTTCCTCCGATTAACCCAGTGCGTCCACTTGCGCAGTGTTGGTTCCCCACGCGCCGAGCTCCCGAATGGACGTGGTCGGCGCTGGCGGCGTTGGCGTTGCTGGTGGCGCTCCAAGCGGCAGTGGCCGGAGCCCAGGTGGACGCCCCCTCCAGGTGCCGACATCACTTCTATTCTCGTTGGCTTAACCGACCAAGGGAATCAATTGATGTGACTGTAGCGCCTCTGGCCGGGAGGTCCTAGGGTTGCAATCACGACGTTGGCAGGATTTTACACAATGGCAACACAGTTAGGTCGAATTTTGCCTGGAAGTATATTCTAGCGGCCGGCTGCTGTGATAGGTAGTTTCTCGTGGTTTCTCCGATCAACTCCAGCCGAATGCCGTTGAAATACGCTACCAAAAGGTCCACGGACCGCGCGCGATCTTTCCTTCCTTTTCCTTTTCCTTCCGTTTCCTTCCTATCCTCGCCCTTTACATACACTTTTACTTCTATGCACTACACTACTATACATGTGAGAGGCTAGTTGGGAACTCAGGGCGTGTCCCAGAAAGGGTGGTGACCCGCTGGTGGGAGATACGTGGTTGGGGAAAACCCTACACGCTGACGGGTAATCCCGTCACACCGGATCTTGCCATCCAGTGGGGGAAGATCACTACCTCTTCACGCAATAAAACAAACCAACATTCTACACTGCCGGGACTAAAGACCTGTAAGAAAAATGCCAGTAAAAAATTTGAGATGGTTTGGAAAAAATTTAAATACGGCGTCGCTTCATATAAAATACCCTCCAAAACGAAAATATCGGTTCAAATTCACAAATTTCGTCCAAATCATTCGTGGAATGTCAATTTTGGATTAATTGATGCATATTTCGCAACCAGAAACATCACTCGAACGATTGTAGTAATAAAACGATTCTAACAAACGCACTAACGCCTACAATCACTACATAAGTAGCCGAAGTCAACCTAGCCCATATTAAGAATCGCCAACTTATGAAAATAAAAATCATGCGAGAGACTAAATTTATTAGGAAACAATATTTTTCTAAAACCATTATTCAATACTTCTCTTTCAACTATTTACAAATAATTATTTAAATACTTCTTTCATGTTTACAAGCAGCTATTGTTAATCAGTAGATGTAATAAATGGTCGAGTGTCTGACTAGCGACTAGCTCGAACATACCACCTTAAAGCCTGTTTTACACGATCATTTTTTCACCATTTTTCGCCGATACAGAATAGATAAAAACCAGTCTGGATGTAATTTGCACGGAAAAAGTACGCATGCTTAATTTTTTGACTCAGATTTCATCCGCGCTCTTGGTGGCATTTTTCAGTACCTTCTCTGGTTTGTTATACGTGTGGAGCGATTTGTTTATTTCGTGGTTTCGAAAACGGTCTGATGTGTTGAATTGTAATGTGAGGTGATTATGTAGTGAGAAATAAATTATGTATTGTATTCTAATATCGTCGCATACGTGGTCAGTCCTAATATAACTTAACTTAATTCGTTACCATAGATGCGATTTTCAAATGTTTGAACTTCAGAGCTATTTGCCGCGTCCGGAGGAAGTATTTTCTTCACGATTACGTACAAAGACAGAAATGACCGTGTAAAACTCTCATCCAGATTCGGCACCGAATCATACTGCGTAGAAACGAACTTCCTGTTTACTTCTCTTGGACGAAAGAATGAGAAACAATGGCTGTCTACGACAGATGCTGAATGACTTGATAAAAGGAAGATTACTCCAAACGTTCGACTCCATTACATGGTTATGTTGATTACGGAACGTTGTTACGAATTGTAACAGACTTTTAAATAAAGACGCGTCCTCAGGTAGCGACAAGTGCTCTCTGTGACAGCGCCGGATATGATAGCTCGGTAGTAACATCGTTGCATTCTCTACACTTTCTGTACAGAAAAATGATGAAAAAATGACCGTGTAAAACACGCTTTAAGGTGGTATGTTCGAGCTAGTCGCAGGTCAGACATTTATTACATCTACTGATTAACAATAGCTGCTTGTAACGTGAAAGGAGTATTTAAATAATTATTTGTAAACAGTTAAAAGAGAAGTATTGAATAATGGTTTTAGAAAAATAATGTTTTCTAATAAATATAGTCTCTCGCACTATTTTCATTTTCACAAGATGATTTATATAGGTTAGTTAGTTTCAATAGTTAATATAGGTTAGGTTGACTTCGGCTACTTACGTAGTGATTGTAGGCGTTAGTGCATTTGTTAGAATCGTTTTATTACTACAATCGTTATATATGACTAAATAGTTAAAAGAGAAGAATTGAATAATGGTTTTAGAAAAATAATGTTTCCTAATAAATTAAGAGATGTCCCAGGGATTCCTTATGTGCGGTGTGGAGTCGGTGTTGCAGGCGTTGGGTGTGGCAGATGGGGCGAAGGGCGGCCGGTGGAGCCGTGGGCGGCGGGCGGCGGCGTGGGCTTTAACGGCCGCGGCGGCTTGGGTAGCAACGTGGGCGGCGCCGGGGCCGCCTGGCCGAATCTCCGCGACCGCCCCAACTGGATCTCATCCGCCCTCAGCGGCGGCGGCGGCGGCTACAGCGGCGCAGGAGTGCCCGGTGGGTGGCTACGGATCCCGGCGGCGGCGATGGTGTAACGGTTGGCGTATCGGACTGTTATTCCTAAGCTCGCGGGTTTAAACTGTGGATTTAGGCGTATCGGACTGTTATACACAAGTTCGCGGGTTTAAACTGTGGATTTAGGGCGAAAAAATCCTTCGTACGCCTTCCTTCTGAGGGGAAGTAAAGCCGTCTGTCCCATGTTAGTAGATTTACTTGCAAGTAAATGAACCTCAAGTCTAAATGAAGCCTCTGAGCTAAATTCCTATCGTCTGTTTCGTCGCTCACGAAATGCCTCCTTTTTCCGATAGTGTGTGAAAGAAGCGCGGCGAAATTTGCGTGGTCAGACGGAAGAGAGCCTTAGGGCCAGGTAATATAAGGGCATCAATTCAATTCAATCCCGACCGGACAAGTGGCTTAAAATAGCAATGCAATTCAATCCCACGACCAGACAGTGAACGCCACACCACACCTGTGATATAGTGGTGTGATGACACCACGTACTATGTTGTACCCGCTACGTTAGGTCTAGAACGACTTGGCTGTTCGGGAGGCCCCGCCTCCTAGGCACAGGTGACTTTCGGTCGCCATACTGCTGCCTTCCTTAGGGCGAAATGCATTTCGCCCTGAGGAAGGTCAACCAAATAGCAGACGGAAGCCCAAGATGTTACTGACTCCGGTCGCGGAAGCCTTCGCCCTGCGAGAGATCACTTGCAACACTGTTGTCTCAGAAGCGTCATGGGGCGAGTGGTTCTGGGCTTGCTGAGTTGCAATTGTATCTTCACAGCTGGGTTGAAATTGGTCACTGTCTGCAGGAGAATACTCTGATCGGTAGTTCATATTATTTCTTCCTCATCCCTCATCCTTCCCATTCCACACGTAGGAGTGGAGTCGGGAGTTTAAGCTTGTTCCAGAATAGGTGTTGCCCCATTGGGAGAGATACGTAAAAGGGAAAATACATTGCAAGCCAAGGAGTAGGACTCCGTTGGATCTCATGCGCCAGCAGGAATGCCACCTGCCGGGATATAAAATGCACCACCCTAATGATTTTAATAGATAATGGTATCTGAATCAATAAATATTCAATGAGTTTGTAAGGAAATAGTAAATAAAGTCAATGAGTAACATTGCACAATTTTATGAGGATGATAAATAAAATATTATATTGAAAGTGAACTAATGATTCATCGATACCAAAAGGAAGGAGCAAGCAGTATTTCACTCTTTTCTGGGAAAACGTCTTTAAAATATTAAACGAAGAGATTAGAGACAAATACAAATTTTCAATTTTGAAAAATTCAAACGATTTCATTAAACTGGCTATTGAATTCTATATATTCTGTCTACACTCCAGTTATTAATTTGAATGACTCTCTACTAAGACTGGCTTTATGCGTTTCCTTCAGTTGCAACTCTTCGACCAACCAACCACGTTCCTTCGCAGCCATCAACATGATATAACCAATTATTTTAATTTCTCGATTTCATTGCGCTTCATTCATATCTCAATTTTTCTTCCACTCACAAATTCTTACTGTCATTGTCAACTATCAATGTTGAATTGAATTGAATTGAATTTGCGTTATTTTACGTGGCGAGCGTCGGACCATCAGGCCCGCTCTTCCGTCTGACCACGCAAATTTCGCTACGCTCCTTTCACCAACTAGTAGAGAAAGGAGGCATTTCTTGGGCGAGAATCAGGCGATTTAAATTTAGCTCAGAGGCGTCATTTAGGCTTGAGGATCTTTTACATGCAAGTAAATCTGCGAACATGGGACAGCCGGCTTTACTTCCCCTCCGAAAGAAGGCGTACGAAGGATTTTTTCGCCCTTAAAAATAAACTGTTAACATGATTACTAATAATTTGAATATAAAATAGATTGCATATTTACTTTGTTTAGAATAAAAAAAATTATCTCAATTTGCTTATTACAGACGGTGTTCTCAACCCCTTTGATGCCTTCGACTTAGGATATCCCGATGCACAGGAAGCTCTGCCTTCACCGCTTGTCGGCGCTGGCCTCTACCAGCCCCCGAAAGTCCCGGTTGCGCCTCTCCCGACTTGGCAGAATCCGCGCCCTCCACCTGTAGCCTTGGGCGGAACGTCTCCTGTTCGAAGACCGCCTTTGCGCCCAGGCTCACCCCCGTCGCTCGGGCCCTCCCCGGCGACACAGCCCGCACCGCCGCCCGTCTTCTACCCACGTCCTCACGCGGGCGTGGGTGCTTCTGCACTCCAACGTGTCAGTAAAGCACTGTTAGGTGTACCCTCTCAGGGACAAAAAGCGGCACCTCCTGTAGGCGGGTCGACACAAGACGAAGAGCTGCTTTCCCAAGTGATGGACAGATACGGAGAACCTATTTTCATTCGCTTTGATATGCCACACTACAATGAAGATGATTCTGGTCCGCACTACATGGGACATTAAGAAATACTGTATTTTTAGTTGTACCATCTGACCTGAGAAACTTTAATTTCTAAAAACAAACTCGTGAGAACACAATATGCAAATCTATTGTGGAAGAACTAAACATTACTATTTTTTTCTTTAATTCTAATACAACGGGAGGAAAAAGAAATGGTCTTCCACAAACAGAATTTATTAACTGACTATTCGTCAGTTACAGCATTACACAGATAAACGTGTTTCGAGGTATTTACCTCAACTTCAGTGTCATCAACTAAAAAAGTAAGTAAGATAATGTACAACTAATAAAGAAGACAAACAATATTAAAAAAAGTTTTTTAAATTGATTTTTAAATAGTGTTTGTATTCTTTATTAGTTGTACAATTTTATGGTCACATTTTATAGGTTACCTTAATATCCTGTTGATGACACTGAAGATGAGGTAAATACTTCGAAACATGTTTGTGTAACGCAGTAACTGACGAATAGTTAGTAAATAAATTCTGTCTGTCGAAGATCATTTCTTTTACCTACCGTTGTATTACAAGTATGAAGTTCCACAATATTTCTGTGGAAACCACCGAGCTTATTTTTCTTTAATGCCTATTATGTATTATCTGTTTCTTTCCATTAAATACATATCTGCTGTTATTTGCGATTATGTTTTCAAGTATCTGAAATTTAAATTTATTTACTCACAAATTAAAATATCACTCTATGGTCGATATGTGACGCGGGTAATAGTAAATTAAAACGCCCTGGAACATATAAAAGAGGTGTGTTACTTGTTCGCGGTAATTCTAGCATCCAGTGCATACTTTATGTGGAGTAAGAAGTAGTGGGCTACAGGAAACAAATACAATAAGTCTGTATTCATAAATAATTAATGAATAAAAGTATGACATACAAGGTGACATGATGGGAATCTCACTACAAATTACAGACAAGAGATCTACTACATTCGGGAACAAGATTTTTACCTCCAGGAAGGTAGAGTACGCGACGTACTCAATTTTATACGTGGATTATGAACAGTACAACAAAATCATCATATCGCGTCACAGTTTTTAAATATACCGTATCTTTATACCGTATCATTCCGTATTTTACTATTAATGCAAATACATTTAAATTACACCTGTAAACAAAGTTGCCAGATTGGGCGGAATTCGTCCCTTTGGGCTGAAAACTCTCTCTCTCTTTCTCTCTTTCTCTCTCTCTTTCTCTCTCTCTTTCTCTCTCTTTCCCTCTTTCCCTCTCTCTCTCTCTCTCGGGACAAAATTCGACTTCGTGGAATACCGCTGAATGGACGGAATTTTATGAAAACGTGTGCGGTTTCGGGCGGGTTTTCAGATTGCGATTAAATTAAAAAATAACACAACAACGTTGACAGTGAATTTGTTTTTCTTTAGTTTTTTACTTTATACACGATTTTTCATTAATTATTTGATAATTCATTCAAATTTACTTTAAGTGAGTAATGTTCGTTTAAGTAAATAATTTACTTTAAGTGAGTAATCTTCCCATCACTGGGAATTTGCCATCGAGTCCGCGATTCACGATGCGTTCCTCAAACCGACCTGAAAGTTATTCGCTTATCCTTTCGCCAAAGGCGCTGCATATCCAGTACTCTCACTCTACACCGCCCCTTACCGCTGCAAGTGACACTCTTCCCGCGATAACTCCCGTCGCAGCTGCGAGTGGGTATTCGTGTTGTGTGGCAAAATCGTGAAAATCTAAATAATTTAAATGAATAATTCACGGTCGTCAGCCTAAAAAGGCAAAGAAATGACCGCAGCGCGCGCCATTGGCTAGACACATGCCAACACAGAGAAATCTTCAATCACGCGAGCGTGGATCGTTCCCGAAATGTAATGATACATAAAATAATTAGGAAACAGGTATCGGGTCAATGGGTCAGCTTTCGAAGGTATAATTTTCACTGTAGGGAAAAGTTATCAAACTTTCAATACAAAATTCCAATTTATCCAGCACACAGGTACACAGGGCAAGGAGAAATACAAATATCAAATATCAATAACAATTTAGATTCCCGATTCCTGAAAATAAATAAACAAGTACAATTTCCTACCCAAATCCTAATGAGGAAACGAGCAGATCTGGATGGCTCCTCAGCCGTATACAAAATTCAACACTGACACAAAATTACAATACCGCGAATAAATCGCGCAATACAATATATAAGAGCTTCCAAATTATGGATTTAGCTCTTAACCTGAACAACATCAAAATTTATACAGAATTACGGCGCAGAGGGCGCAAAAATACAAAATTGACAAAGTCGCTACTTACCGGACTTTCTAAAAAATAATAAAAAAAATAATTATATGCAAAGCTGTACCATCAATAAATGACAAAAAATAACAATTGAAAACCAAATATAATTTTCATAGCACTTTTTCTCGCAATAATCGAACATAATAGAATTGCACCATAATAACTTTATATCAATATCAAAAATATCTCCTTGGATTACGCTCTTACATAAAACCACTATGCGTTCACCTTACTACCAATGGTGTTTCCTGATGCGGGCCACTCCCGACCTCGTAACCAATTTATGTGTGACGCAGAGCTCTCTGTAGTTGAACACCGCTTGTGCCTCTCCGGCCCTGCAGAAGCGTAGTCAACAAAAATTGGGACCACGCCTACGTGGCGTGGTGTATGCAAGTTGCAGACACGCTTATTGAAACACCAATTGACCCAAGACAATGCTTGCCAGGTCGAAGACTCGTAGAGATGGCGGCTCCGACCTCTCGGTTGCTAGCAAAGCAATAAATTATGCAACACTAACATAACACAATAGACATTAGAGTGATGAAACAACACATTGAGACAGCCTTTTAGAATCGGAAATATCTGACAATTCTGGAACAAAAGAAAATACAATTATACAATAATAACAGGCAGAACGCATGACCGAATTTAGTACTGCAGATTGCAATTAATTATTGTTACATTTTTAAAAGTCCTCTACGTACAATTAAAATAATTTCATAGATTTGCCAATATTCATTTTTAACGCGACAGTGAGTCACGGCGAGAACATTAAAATACAAAACAATCAAATGGTGCTATTATGAGAATTAATTAATTTAACATAGCTGAGGGGTACGGGCGAGTAAAATATGGCTCAGCGCGCTATAACTTATCATAACGTGACTGATTGTCACGGGCGAGCAAACGAGACTCGCCTGGAGAGAACGTCGCGCTCATATATATAGAATAAAATAGACATAAATATCCCTCCGCCGTAGTTTAATTTCTACAGCGGATTATTTGTCTTACCAACGCGCTCTTCAGGAGATTGCGTGGTTTACAAACTGACAATTGAATAAAGAAAATAATCGATCATGAAAGCGACTGCCCCGGTTTCTGGGCGTAAATGGCCGTACTAAAGCCTATTGCACCACATATAGAAAATTATTCAATTTTAATACAAAACAGGAAAATAAACAATGTTTTAAATAAAATATGAGGAATACAATGATTTAAGAATGATTATTGAACATTTTTAACTAGCCAAAAGTCACACAAAGCTTGTAATTTAGTTACAAAAAATAAATTAATAGTTGGTAATTTAATTCATAATAATCACCCTAAAATTCAAAATAAAATATAAATAGTGACTTATAAATGAAACAAATACCATAAATAACTCAAAATTGAATACTGAATAAGTTCCAACCATTACCAAAGATGTAGAGCTCATATTTTAGGCAAGAAAATTATTTCATGAGGTAGAAGAATATTCAAATTTCATGCCTAAAAATTAACAAATAATACAAATTGAAACAAAAACCCAAGTGTGGCCACACTGTACAATGCAGAATATGTATCTATATATTTTCAGATGAGGAGAAAAACCAAAATCAAGTATTCAGAATTTTCACCTGAGATTTTACAGAGAAATTATGTATTCAATTGTGTCACCTCATATTTCAGCTTTTGTATACCCTTTTTAACTCAGATGGCAATATATACACATACAATAAAAAGAATCTGAGTGATACAATTATTTTAAGGTGATGAATAAATATTTTAAACCTGAATCAGAATTTTTATGCTGAAATATGACAATCCGAGTACTCGCGCTTGTCTGAAGCCAGTTTGGCGGTAATTTAATATTTCTAAGAGAGCGGCAGTTTATGTAACTGGCGTGACAATGCAAAAATTAGTATAGTACTAGTATTTTGTTTATTTCAAGTACTAATAAGCTCATATCTTTTGAACCTAGCAAAATAGAAACTTTTTATAATGATTTTCAAAATAAGCGTCTCCTTTGAAATAACCTCGTTTTATCCTGAAGGTATGACATTTTTTGCTCCCTAGTGATATTACAGGTTTATTTACAAAATTATTTCCAAGCAGTAATCTAACATATCTATGCACATCTCTGCTAGACGGCTGAAATCAATTTTCTGACTCGTGAACCCCGCCATTTATCAGAGTATTACGCAGGAAGCTTACCACCACGAGACCACTGTCACAAATGGAAGCGGTATTTCACTACTGCTCCTAACATACAGGTTGCCACAGGAGCATCGCATGTAAACGCACCGCCCACGATGCTGGTTTTGTGCATCTGCACAAGAGAAGGTCTCCCACACAGCTCAAGATCCTTCCTCGCCACTCGCCCCTTAATACATGTTCTCGGTCCAGAGAAATTAAATAAAAGGCCGAGGAAATTGTAACCGAGATAACAGTCGTTTTACAATAAAGAGTAAATCCACCCTTCCTCGCCACT